TATCTTGAGATACTGCTGGATCAATTTCATTATATAAAAAGTATTTTTTTAATAGTTTCGCTGCATCAAGTGCTTGTTTGATGCTTGGTGGAGGGACAGGATCGTCTTCTTCAACAACGTACACAACTGCAGTTCTTATCTATTTCGGCAACTTAGAAAGTACTGCTTAATGATTTATAATGCCGCATTGTTGTCGTTAAATAGAGTGAGCGTGACGCTATATAGAGTGTAATATTGTATAGAAAACAATGTAAACCAACCAAAGTCAACCAAAGTCGACGTTTTAAGGAGTTTGTTGTTAAATCCAGTGACGTTATAAAGAGTTTACACTGTAATCGAAAAGTCCTAAAAGATCAGTACGTACTTTTTTTTAAGGTTAGTAACCATAACGGATACTCATATCCCTGGTACCTCAGCTTGCGTTTTATAGATGTTATTAAGAGGAACCTTGTTCCGTATTGCGGCTCAGCGAGTGAACGAAGAGCCCGGTGTAAATGTGAGATTCGAATCAGTTTTGGTACCATAAACGTCACGGTCACTGACTCTGTTTTTACCAACAATAACACGTGTGAAAGAGGAGACCGTTTCCGTTTCTTAACCGATTTGTTTGATATCGAAATTCGGAAAGCGTCATTCGAATTCACGTATCTTTAATGTGAATGAGATGAAATGATTTTCGGGGTCTAAATTATGAAATTAAAACTTTTCTGCAGCAACTTGTTACGTCCCATGAATTTTATTTATAATAGTTCACGGGTTTTTTTAAAAGCTAATTATATTACTGTTATATTACATATAATGGGAAGCTTCGGTCAGTAGTTATATTTTAAGAGAATTATGGAACTTCAAAAACTTTTGGAACATCGCACTGTATGTCGGAAGGAGCTAAGCAACAAAAATCAGCGCATTGTCAAATGAATTTCTATTTTTTTTTTTATTTAGGAAGGGAGAGAGAGAGTCCAATCAGTCTTAGGACTCACGGCCGTATAATGATGATGAGTGATTTTAAAAGTCTTCAGAACTTGTCGACAGTCTTAGAATTACGATTTCGGAATATTGTGAGCAAATAATACGTATACAATGAATGTTTACAAATTTTTTTTCATTACAATATATCTTGACCAGCATTTACAATTAATATTCTAATTTTTTCCCTAGCTTAAGTTATAAATAAAGAATCAGAGCCAATGGGGTGAAGGTTTGTTAAAGGTCTAGATGATGGCGGGGGGAATCGAAAGAGGAGGTCTCCCCCACCACTGTACCATAAAAAGTTCGTGGCGGTCTCACCCCCATAAAAAGTTATGGGGGTTCAAAGTTAATAAATACGCCAATTTTTATACATTTCTAGGCATGTAAATATTTATATAGTCATTCTTAAACAATATTCAAAGGTAAAACTAATGAAAAATACATAAAAATATTGAGAAAGTTATATAAAATATTATTTAAATATCTTTATCAATAGGATAGGTTAAGTTAGATTAAGTTAGGTTATCGGGTTTTGTTCAAGTGACCACCCTCTTTCGATCTCCCACCTCGACCCGCTTGAAAATTTTTTTTTTATTGAATTTCATTTGAATTATAGTGTATGAAAATTGTCAAAATAATTAACTTTCAATCCCCATAACATTTTATAGGGGTGACCGCCGCAATTTTTTATGGGGTTTTACTCAGATGACCACTTTCGATCCCTTCTACCCCCACCCCCATCTAACCCCATAACTTTTTATGGGGGTGAGACCGCCACGATATTTTTATGGTACAGTGGTGGGGGAGACCTCCTCTTTCGATTCCACCCACGCCCACCCCCGAAAGGGGTGGGGGCCATCATCTGGACATTTACCGAAGGTTTGTATTTATTGATACCACACCAACGTTTCGCCTCAAAGTATGGAGGCTTCTTCAAAGGTTACAATTATTAAAGTCAACTAGTAATAAGAATCGAGTTCTCTTCTCTTCTGTACCTAACTGACTTGGAAACCTGGTAGATCCAGAATCAC